AAAATTAAAAGTCCAGGTCTTCACTTGAACCAACTGTATTTCAAGTTCTTGAAAAGTCTCAAGGAGCTAGTAGCTACTATATTTGACAGTACAATATAGAATATTTCCATCATTATAGAAAGTTCTATTGGGCATGCACTGATCAAGTGTTCTCTAATTAGAGTTTCTCTAATTTTCTGTAAAGGCCATGAGCTATTTTTATAACCAGAAAAAAGGAATAACAAAGTCAAGGTCCTCCTACACTGTTGGTGGGAATGCAAGCTGGTGCAGCCACTCTGGAAAACAGCATGGAGATTCCTCAAAAAGTTGAAAATAGAGCTAGACTATGACCCAGCAATCTGGGTATTTACCCTAAAGATACAAAAGTAGTGATCCGTAGGGACATGTGCACTCAAATGTTTATAGCAGCAATGTCCACAATAGCCAAACTATGGAAAGAACCTAGATGTCCATCAACAGGTGAATGGATAAAATATATGTGGTATATATATATAATGGAATACTATATAGCCATCAAAAGAAATGAAATCTTGCCATTTGAGATGACTAGGATGGAACTAGAGGGTATTATGCTGAGCGAAATAAGTCAATTAGAGAAAGACAATTATCACATGATCTCTCTGATATGAGGAATTTGAGAGGCAATGTGGAGTGTTTGGGGGGTAGGGAAGGAAAAAATGAAACAGGATGGGATTGGGAGGGAGACAAACCATAAGAGACTCTTAATCTCACAAAACAAACTGAGGGTTGCTGGGGGAAGGGGGGTATGGAGAGGGTGGTTGGGTTATGGACATTGGGGAGGGTATGTGCTCACCATAGTGAGTGCAGTGTGTAAGCCTGATGATTCACAGACCTGCACCCCTGGGCAAATAATACATTATATGTTAATAAAAAATTAATTAAAAAAAGATGACTTGACTGTAGAAAAACCCAAGAGATTATGTGAGGCATGGCAAAACAGAATCAAGGTGAACTTGTATTTTAAGGAAGCAGTGACTTTAATGAGAGAGATTCAATATAATCGATAGTATTGTTTTCAACTTAAGTACAGGAAAGGTGTATTAACTGGGAGAGGGAGGGTCTACATATGACCCAGAAAAAGGAACCCAAAAAGGCAGGATTGGTCAATGTACCCCAGGATGGTTGTTGTGGTGGGGAAAAAAGCCCTATGACCATGGATTGATGCCTCAGAAAATAGCATTTTAATGGCTCCAGTAAGAGGTTGTCCAGCAAACCCTCTTGGTGGCTGCAACTCTCAACCTGACACCCTAGACTTTAGAAGTTGTTAGTGTCCACTGACGCCCGCATCTCCTCTCCTTCCTGGATGCAAAGCTAAACAAGTGTTCTGGATCCTTCTTGCATCTTAGTGGAAATGTTTGCTCATTTGGACAATGGGTGGGAACAGGCAGGGCACCCACCACTTTCTGTCCTTGTTAGAAAAAGATCTACATAATCTTCCATGCCCTTATTTTCTCTACTTTCTGTGTCTATTGGGGAAGGACTCCAAGAGGATAGAACCACAGAATGAAATAAGCCCCAATCCTTAAGTTTCTGTTTGGAGAACCATGGAAGCTGCCAGAATGGAAATATCTGCAATGAACATGGGGCAAGAAATAAACCCTTGTTGGGCTACCCCAGTGAAATTTTGGGGGTTGTTTGTGACATAGCAGCAGTGATACTTATTCTAACATATACATTCTAATTTGATCTTCTATGCAGAATGTGTTAATGCAGCAGGTCTGGTGACTTAATCTTTGTGTGCCTCTAGAGGAGCCTAGAACCATGACTGACCTTCAGCCAATCTCCAAGAATGTGGTCCTTGGAATGTTCTTTATGTAACTGACGGATGATGTTGTTTTGTGCTCCAAAAGCAATGGGGTTTGCTCTACAGCTTGTCAGGATTGGTTAGCAAGCTTTATGATGTTTATCTGGTGTCTGGGTTGGGATTCTGAGTTCTGCTATCAGGGCTGTTCATTGAGCAGGAATATACCTGCCTGACCAGCCCTCCATAAAAGCCTCAGACTCCAGTGGACTTCCATGACTATAGTTCACACATGGCCCTATAGTTTGCTGCTAGAGAGAAAGCACATCTTATCTGACAGGGAGGGGCAGTAGTTGGAAGCCCACATCTAACCTCTCTTGATTTCTCCCAATGCATTTCATTTTTCCACTGCTCTGCTTTTATTCCATATCCTTTGCTATAATAAACCTTAGCCATGACTAAGACCTGCTGCTGAGTCCTGTGAATACTCCTGGTGAGTCAATGAACTTGAGGGTGGTCATGGGGCTCCCCAAATACCTCCCACCTGTAGAGGTAGAGGCTGCAGTTGTGGAATGAAGAAGCCATGGCGATAGAAGTTACAACATAGGGAGCATAGTCAATGGTATTATAATAGTGTTGTATGGTCATAGATGGCAGCTATACTTGTGGTGGGAACAATACAACATAGAGACTTGTGGAATCACTATGCTATACCCCTGAAACTAACATTTTGCGTCAACTACACTGCAATTAAAAAAAAAAGCCCTCCACTCCCCCCCACAAAAACCCCTAAAATTGAGAAACAAAATACCTCCCACATGAGATCTTTCTCTTGGAAAACAGAACACAAACTGTCCAGAATAAGTATGTTTTCTATCTGGCACTTGAATATCTTACTACCACCTGTTGACATTCTAGCATAAACATCAAACTCCTGTGAATCTGGTTGATATGAACCCCTTCATAAGGGCCTGACTGACAACAACACCACTCATAACATCTTCAGAAGATTATCTGGAATTCTGTGACCACCTAATGAGGTCCTTTCAGTGGCCAACCTGGAGGGCATTTCTTCAGTGTCTCTCTTATATGCGTCACTTAAGAAGATGAAGCGGGGCACCTGGGTGGCTCAGTGGGTTAAGCCTCTGCCTTTGGCTCAGGTCATGGTTTCAGGATCTTGGGATCGAGCCCCGCATTGGGCTCTGCTCAGCACAGGGCCTGTTTCCCCCCATCTCTCTGCCTACTTGTAATCTCTCTCTCTCTGTGTCAAATTAATAAATAAAATCTAAAAAAAAAAAAAAAGAAGATGAAGCAAGTTCAAGATTTAGGATAACGGCCATCGTGAGATAGAAACAAAGGCTGTGGAGAGAGGTCCCATTTGCTGGTGACGCTGGGGAGGGTCCAGAGAGGAATTCTGCATGAAACACACCTGGAAGAAGGGACATCATTTCCAATGGGAAGAGTGATGGGGTGTGTGCATTTGAGACAGAGTCATCTGTCTCTGAAACAGGACACCTTCAGGGACAAGGACACTGAGGGCACTGGCTTGGCTCTATGAAATGTCTGAGATGGCAAGTAGTCTGGGAGGTATGATATTTAGGGTGAACTGTTGAGGGTTATTGAAGAACTGGCCTTCCTGATGGATATCTGTTTATATTACAATTAGCCAAGGCTGAGAGATCCTTATACCTTAGGGCCCAGGATTAAAACTCGTGCTGCTGAGTCGCTCATAAAAGTCATCAAAAACATCATTTTCTAAATCCATATTGTCATGTAAGTTTGAATGTCATCATTTTTTCAATTGTCTGATGAGCACCCACATGACCTGACCCTTCCTAGACTTCCAACTGCCTCTCAAATCATGGGAGCCTCCCCTATGGTCACTTTGCTCCACTTACACTGGACTCGCTTCATGCCAAGTGCATCTCTGCCTCAGGGCCTTTGCACTGGCTGTTCCTTCTGCCTAGAATGCTGCGCACTGCCGCCCACATCCCCCTGGCTGGTTCTGTCTAGTTATTCAGATTTCTTGTCACAGTTACCTTCTGAAAGCTACCAGCATCCCCCCAAGAGAATGTAGCCTCTTTCACCATGTCATTACTCAATTTCACTGACGACAGAGCAGAGATCTTCATTCCTTAGAACACGTTCTGCTTCTTTCTATCCCCTTGTGCTTATCTTTACCCTCTGGTGAAATTTCTCAGCCAGCAGGTAACTTCAGATGAACCAAAAACACTGTCTGCATGGATTTCAGTTTTATTGCAACTGGCCGGACACCCCTTCCCTGGTTGAAATAGCTATTCATTTGTCAAGCAACTTGGAAGACAATTGTCATCTGATAAAATGAGCCACAGTATTTCCTACAGGGTATACCATTGCTTAACAACAAATTGTGCAGATAGACTAAGGTAGTGCTTGGCAGCACATCTGGAGAAGCACTGGCCCTGGGTTGAGTGTAAAAATTCTGGAGGCACATTACTCTTTTCTTCCTGTGTCTGGGCAAAAACCTCCAATTGCAGTTTCTTCCTCAGTCCTTGGATAGTGAGTATCTGGGACAGAGTTGCCATTAGTGGAGGGGGAGCATTTCAACAAATTGGGAAAGAGAGCTGGACCCTCCATGTCACTCACCTGCAAATCCACCTGAAGTCACAATCAACTTAGCTTTGAGAAACAGCAATGGAGGCTATCTCTGTGGGGGCTGACCCTCACCAGACCCCTTGCAGGGGGTGCATCTTGTAGGTTGTGTCCCTTCCTCCATGAATGAAATGATTTTGCCCACAAAGCAAACACACTAGACAGGGGCTGACAGAAGATGGCCCATGGGTTAAGAATGATTTTTGTAATAAATGAAAAAGAATCCCATACCATAGATCAGGACATGTAAAAATTATATGGAATTCAAATTTCAGTTTCTGTACATAAGGTTGCATTGAAACAGCCACACTCACTCATTTGCACATTGTATATGCTGTTTTTAGGCTACAGCTGCGGAGGTGGGTTGTTGTGACAGAGACCATCTGGCCCACAAAGCCTAAAGTGTTACTACTATCTGATCCTTCCCTTAAGAAGTCTGCCAACCCCGTTTTCAAGTCCTGAATGCCCCCACAAGCCTGATTTAAGACTTCGATAAGCAAGAGTTCCTTTGCCTCTCAACATTAGTATTTCCTCATTTCCTCTGCCCTGAAAACAGTGTCTGCATAGCCCGAGATTTAAGGGGAATTCACAGGGGAAACCCACTTACGTAGGATCCATAATCCACAGCCAGGGTCTGCAGGGCCCATGGGAGACCAAGGCCAATGAGGATATCAAACACGTTGCTCCCGATAGAGTTGGATACTGCCATGTCTCCCATGCCTGAAAAGACAAGAGGTCACTAGAGTGAGGGAGGTGATCTCAGGATAGTACAGGGGCTCCCCAAGGGACCCTGTCAAACTTTTGGTCTGACAGCCAGAGACTTAGCTGGAAGATCTGCTGGCTCATTTGCTAGGTGGTTCCCTCCCAGGCCACCCCCTGTATTTTCAATGGAATAGGTATCTTCAGTAGAAAGGAATGGAATGGAACAGAACAGACTAGAATGAAATGCACATACTACTGAACTGTTGACCTTCAAATATGATCACTGGTTAAATGTGAATGATTCCAAAAACCAAATATAGTTCCCCAAATTCTGAAACTTCCTTCTAGAAAGGAATAAACTTAACAGTTCTGCAAAGCCTCTCACGAGCTCACCAACTCATATATTTTACTACCATCTCCCAACTGCTCTACACTCACTTCAACTCTTTTTCTAAATAATTGAGCACTATTAAGAAAAAACAGTGTAACCAGTAGAATTTCATGAGGACATCTCAGGGACACTGCTCTAAGTGTTGTAGCTACACATTGTATTTGTCAAAAACAAATGCAATCAGCACAAATCAGGCATGCACACTAGAGTGGGTTCTAGCAAAGGGCATGGCCTCTGGAAGGAGCGTCCATCCGTGAGCTTGGTTTTGAAGGAGGGGAGGCTGTGCCATACTTTGAGGACTGACCTATGACAACCACCATTGTCAGGGTACTGCAGTTGGGTAGACCTTAGGCTATGGGTTCTGTCTTCTCTAAGCCTTGGTTTCCCTATCCATAGACTGGGGGACTGATCTTCCCTATCCCACAGAGTTGTTTAAATTAAATAAGATAACATACCTAGACAGCTTTGCTCGGTGTGTGGCGCTCAGCAAAGGTTAACTCTTATTACATTTATTACTATTTTTAATAAAATAGGGGGTCAGTAACACTACCTCTAGAAAGGCCTCTGTGTACTACCTAGAAAATGTCTCTGCCTTTCTGAAGGGTAGATCTTCTGGCTTGTTTCCCTGTTCTTTTGATGCCTGTGAGCTTTTCGACCGACACAGAACTGAAGTCAACCATCACCTAGGTAATTGTCATGTGGATCTCCCAAAGCTCCCCCCAACCCGTAGGTCTTCCTCCCTTGCCCACCCCTGTCCCCATCTAAATGGAGGTCCCACCCTGTCTGGCCACGATGAGGCTAGCCATGCAATCGGGCACACTGGTTCCAGCTGCCAGGAAGGTGATCCCCATGATGACATCAGGAATTCCCAGCGTGTATCCAATGATCGTCACCTGGAAGAAGCAGGAAGAGGTGGTGAGTTGGGGGCTGATGTCAACCTGATGCACTAGTGGATCCTCTGCCCAAGAAGCACAAAAGGCTGCAATCTGGGCAGTCTCCTCAGGGGGCAATGTCTGCTCTAGGTGTCAATGTAGATGGCAAAGAACATCGTGCAGAGCAGACCAGGACTGCAGGTCTGGGAACCAAGATACAATTATGGAGCCCATGTTTCCCAACCAAAGATTAGTATTGTATACATCTTTCTTTCAGGTGAGGCAGGAGGCTTGAGAGAAAGTTTCTGGGAAAGGGTGACTTGGGGACAGAATATTTGAATTCAGGATGGTCCTAGGATACCCCAGAATGGAAAAGTGGAGTCATAAATAGGCAATGCATTCTGGATGGTTGTGTTTCCTAAAATGGCTTTGGGGCAGAGGCTCTTTTGAGCCAGAACCCCACAACCAATGCCAGTTCTTGAATCTTTGTTTTAGTTTCAGAAGGGACCCTTGAGTGGTCACCTGGTCCATTGACCTTATCTTCTGGTTGACAAAACTATGATTTAGTTAAGGGAAGTGACGATGACAGCTGGGATGATTACTCCCCAATTCTTCACATCTTTCCTTCATGTTTCCTTCATGTTCTCTGCCTTGTGGCTCTGCTGTTCTTCCCGTTAGAGCAGGTGGAATAGATTTTCCCCACTCCATTGATACTGGGCAGAAGTCACAGGTCCAAGGTGCTGGGATGCACCTCATGTTTCCACTGGCCCTCTAGCATTCCAACAATCTGCCATGAGAAAAGCATTCCCTAGGTAGCCACTGGTCCAAGGAAAACGAGCAAACATAAGAAGTAGATATGAAACCCCCTGCTGCCTGAATCACATATAACCATGTTATGGCTTGAAGGAGAACCCTCAGTCAGTGCTGGCTAAGATTAGTCAAACCACGCTCAACACAGGTATGTAAGCGGGAAGATAACTTCTTGCGATTCTAACCACTGAGTTCAGAGGTGGTTTGTCATGCAGCTTATTGAGGCATTAGAAGACTGATACAGTGACTGGGCTGACACCTCACCTCCGAGTCCCCTCTGATTGAGGGTATTTTTCTCTCTAAAGAGGTTTAGCAATGCTGTGGGTCCTCAGTACACTCACCATCCATACCATCATGTAGGAGAAGGCTGCTATCCACAACGTGGAAGAAGCAAATGTCACCATAAACCATTTTTCCCAGCGCGGCTTGTTGCAGTTGGGTACAGTGAAGTATAAGACAAAGCTCAGTGGCCAGGTGAACGCCCACTTCACTGTTTCCAGTTTTCCAGCTGGGAAAGGAAGCAAAGACAAAAACAAAAATTAGTTAGTTTCATCTCTGTGTTTTACCAGCCCTCTGTGCTACTTGCCCCAGACATTTACGTCCTAATTGATGACCTGTGAAATCAGGCTTATTATATTGTCCTTTTCATAAAAGACACAAATGGCTTCCCACCAGCAGCAAAACCTAGCATACAAAAGCAAGCAGAATAAAAACAGTTATCCACCGCTCACCTGCTAGTTAGGCACCCAAATGACAGATGAGGCACTTCTGAGGATACAGGGCTGGAAGGATGGTTTGGCACATGTGGCCGGTGGCAAAGGATGAGGAAGATTCCCAGATGCAAAGGGAGGGGAGTGTGTGGGGATGCAGGTGAAGGTTAGGGAGGGGAGCTGGAAGACCATCAGTTGGCCTGAGGTCTGTTCTCCCCACGGTTAGATCAAATCTTGCCAGATTATAAAGTGTCAGTGGTCCCAGCGCCATCTAGTGGAATTGCTCAACATTGTCAACTCCTTGAAATGAACAATGATTTCAAAGTTCTCAAGGTGGGGTTTGTATCTCAAGTTGAAGTGAATTTGCATATTAGTCATTGATTTCTGGTTCTCTAAATACCTGCTGCTATGGCTAGTGATGACCTGATCTTATCATCTCTGTGTTGCCTGAGCCCTGTGTTTCAGAGATACCCATAAATGCTTATTTTGGTGACTATGTTGCTATGAGTTCCTTGTGACCACAGATTTGACAAACCTTTTAATTCTCCTTTAGCCTTACATCCTGAGTAAGTGCTAACACTTCTGGTAAGAAATATGTATTGCATACACTCCCTGCTTCAATAGAGATAAAGAACCTCTCTGCCTTCCAGAAAGTTCCTTGAGCCTCTTTCCAGTCAACCTTCCACCTTCTACCACCATAAATTAGTTTTCCCTGTTATCCACATTTAAATAAAGAAAATCACATGGCATGTGATTTTAGTCAACTACATTCTTTCAGCCAACATGTTTTTTGAGATTCATTCATGGGTCAGGAGTTCATTCTTAATTGCTTTGTAGTTTTCCATCCTACGGATACACAATTTGTTTATCCATTCTCCTCCGGATGGGAATTTGAGTTGTTGCCAGTTTTCAGGTACTACAACTAAAGGAGCTATGGGTATTCTTGTATCCTTTGTTTTGTCGGCATGTTTTTCTTTCTCTTGGGCGAAGACCCAGGAATAGAATTGCTGAGTCACAGGGAAGATGTTTAACTTCGCAAGAAACTGCTGAGCACTTTTCCGAAATGATCATCTCATCTTATATTCCTATCAGAATGAAGGAGGTATTTGTTAAATTACACTTTGAACAGTGATTAATAAAATGTTAAATGAAAATTATTTCAAAATTTTATGCCAGTATCCAGCACTTTTCCAATTAGCTGCTATGCAGATACAGAGCTGGGAACGGATGGTGACAATCTTGAGACTGTTTGGCTGGATTTCTAAGCAAGAAAGCGGTCAGGGTTTTTTTGTGAGGGGCTTCCAAATGTTGTGGAGTCCACCATTATCGTCAGACCCTTGGATCTCAAAGGCATCCTGGAATTCGGCATGCTCCTAAAGCCTGTAACGTGGTGATGTCATTTTTTCATCGGGCAATCCCCTCACAGGCCTTGCAGTCCTCCGGATGCCCTTACACAGAGAGACTTGGTCCAGTTTAAAACACACACCCAATCAAAGTTACAAAGAAACACACGAATGGGAAGAGAAATGACTACAATCTGGCTTTGTCTTTCTTCAGAAAATAGTAATAAAAAAAAGGACAAGGGAAGAAAAATGAAATTGGAACTTAAGACTGTGGGAGCTTAGAAAATGATATTGATTCAGTAGAACTGTAAGCAATATACGTTGGCACCAATGAATTTTGAGTTTTTTCTCTCAGCTGCTTTAGAAAAGTCTGACTTGACCCTGGAGGGGCCATATATCTAGAAAACAGTTTTCTCCATTTCATGATACAGATATTTTCTCTAAGTTACAGCTCCACTGTAACCACAAACTTACAGTAGAAACTCAATCAGTGTCATCTGGAAGTTACTTTTTTAAGTGTAATGTAACAAATATAACTCCTTGAGCAAACCAAGTGATACAGAAATGTGCTTTTTAAGTGATTTTGAGGAGCAGTCAGATAAGGAACGTACTTATATTTTGGTGTGTTCTTTTAGTCTTTTTTTTCCCACTGAAAGTGTGTTTACCTACATCCTTTGTAAATGTTTCTATTTCTATTAGTCAACAGTGAGTCTTTCTTCATGCAAGGGTTAATATATGTACAACTTATACTATGCATAGGTGCATATAACTTACATATATACTATGTGGATTTAGCCTCTATGTATATTATATGCACATATAAACACAGGAATGTTAATGTATGTGCACATTTTAGCTGGCCTAAATTTCTGTTTCTGAAAAAAGGGGTAAAATGTTTCAAGGAAAAACTGAGTCAACAGTATTTCTGGACATTTTCCCATCTTTTCTTCCATTGCTATGTGGTCTGCCTCTAGTCCCCCAGGGGACAGGTTTATTTCTTCACTTAACAAATATTCTTTGAATTGCACCCCACCCCACCCCCAAGGCCAGTCTGTGCCAGGTGCTGTTCCGGGTGCTGAGGACAGAGCTAAGAAAACCAAACTCCCTGAGCACGAACCTGATATACCCAAGATTATGTGATTCCTTGGAAAGGAGCCAGCAGCTGGGAGATGAAGTCAGGGACGTGAAGTGAGGACTCGGAGCATTATAGTATCCCTTTGAGTATGACTTGGCTCCAAAAAGCAAAAGACCTGTCCTTAAGTTGTATTCCTTATTGAGTTTTTACAGAAGTTTACTTCTATTGAGAAGAAAAAGTCATTGCTCATTCTTATAGACCTGGAGTTAAATATATCAATTTTCTCTAACTACATAGGCAATAAAAACGCAGTGTTTTAGAATGGAAAATCTAGAAAAAATAAAAAAAGAATTCCACCTGGAGAAACACACTCATATTTTGGTATATTTCTTTTCAGTCTTTTTCTGTGGAAGTATGTTTGCCTATGTACACATGGAAATATTTCTTTTCTTTTCTTTTCTTTCTTCCTTTCTTTCTTTCTTTTTTTTTTTTTAGAGAGAGAGAGAGCATGCAAGCCGGGGTTGGGGGGAGAGAGGGAGAGAGAGAATCTTATCCACGTCCAGTACAGAGCCTGATGCAGGGCTCAATATCATGACCCTGAGATCATGACCTGAGTCGAAATCAAGAGTTGGATGCTTAACCGACTGAGCCATCCAGGTGCCTCCACATGTAAATATGTAAATATTTCCATTTCTGTCAGTCAACATTAAGGCTTTCTTTATACAAGAGATAAGTATACATGTGCAATTTTTATATACATACACACACACACATTTTCTATGTATAGGTATATATATGAATATATATTATATGAGTTTAACCCATATGTACATTATGAGCACATATAAAAATACAGGTATGTTAATATCTGTGCATAAACCATAAAAGCATAAACTCAGTATAAAAATGTATACATTGCATGAATAAACATGTCATATGTACACATGATATCAACCATACACATGCACACCGCATATATGCACACACTTGTATGTACATGTATGTGCACATAGTGTATGTGTATACACACCCATCCATCCTAGGTACGCCTACATTTACATACTTCGACATAATTACTTATTCGTTACTTACACTCACTACAGTCAAGTCCTAGAGAGAAGAAAGCCCTATATCTGAGTGACAGAAACACAGAGAACCATGCCCCACAAGATTAACACAAGGGGGAAAAAATGTCCTCATCATGTGGACAGAGCTTTTTCAGGCCAAAGGAACTGGATGTGGGGCTCCTGGGGCTGGGTCCTTCCCACTCCTCGAATGCCATCTGCTGGCCCTCTCACTGCTGTGAAGGCTCTGCCTGCCCTGGGAGTGGAGCGGGTGCTGCTGGACATGCAGGCTGTGAGGCTCAGATGGAAGTTCCTGAGTCCTGAAATGGGGTGTGGGTTTGGTGGTGGGAGGGAACAGAGGATAACTGGACAAACCCACTCTCCAATTCAGCTGCAGCACCTCACCTCGTTCTGAATGAGGCTCGCCTAAGGCTCAGGAGAATGGTGAAGATTGCTGGCGTGAGTCCAGGATGTTACCTTCTCACTGCCTCAGGTGCAGCCCCGGACAAGCAGCCCCAGTGTCCCCTGGGGACTTGTGATAAATGCGGAATCTGGGCCTCCCCGCCAGAGCTCCCGAATCAGAGCCTGCATTTTTATCCAGGATGCCCTGGTGACAGGGCTGGTCTAGAAGAACCTGGGGTTCCACTTCCTTTCTTGGCAGCTCAGGGCCTTGAAATGAAGCAGAGACCTCAAGGAATGGCAGGACCAGGCAGAGCATCCTTTCTTCTCTGGTGCTTGAATTGCCAAAAGATGCAGGGTGCCTCAGGGGCGGGGGTGGGGTGGGGTGGGGTGGTGGAGATTCCTTAGCCCACACTAGCAGCCACGTCTCCTAACACACGAGGAGACAAGGGGATGTGGCTGGGAGGCCCCGGGCCACTTCATCCGCAATGAACCCCAGAGATGAGGAGTGGAAGTGAGCAACAGTTAGTTATAAGATACCTTGAAATCTCCCAGTTAGGTCTGGCATTTATCCCATTCAGGTGAGAAAAAGGAAACAAGTGACCTGAAAGGGGCCCCTTTGTCCCACTGAGTAATGAGACCCAGTTGTGGGAGCCAGATGAGTTGTCTGGTGCCACACACATGTCTTTGGTCATCTGCCTGGAAGGGTGTACATGGGGCTTTGGGGCCTCTGGGGCGCCCCCCCCCAACACTGGTCCCTTACAGACTCTTCACCTGGTCCAAGAGCTTCTTTCATCAGTCAAAGACTTTAGCAAAATAGGCATTTTTGGAACTTCGTTATGGGCTGTTGAGGGTGAGCTCTGAAAGCAAAGATTTTAGACGTAGACCCCCAAAAGTCTGTGCCCTGATTCTCAGAACCTGTGAAGAGGAGGCTGAACCATCAGTTCCATGACTATGCTCTGCTGTGTGGGAGAATCGACCTCCTGAAAGGGGATTAGGCAGGCGGGCCTGCTCTAGGCTCCTCAGAAGCAGAAGGGGAAGCCCAAGAGACCGGAATTGTGAGAAGGACGGAAAGCACCATTGGTGATGTGAAAAATGCAGGCTTCCAGGAGCAGTGAGCAGCCCCTGGCTGACAGCCAGCAAGGGAATGGGACTCAGCCTTCCAACCACAGGGAACTGGGTTTTGCCAATAATCTGCATGTGTTTGAGAGTGATTCTCCCCAGGGCCTCTGGGAAGGTCTATAGCCCTGTCTACACCTCTAATATGGCCTTTGGAGCCTCTGAAGCCCAGCCAGGCTGTGCTGGACTTCTGACCTACAGAACTGGCGGCTAATCAACGGGTGTTGGTTTAAACCACTCAGTTTGTGGTAATTTGTTCTACAGCAATAGAAAATGAATACAAAAGTTCATAAGGGGGATATAGAGGGCCTGGTTGCTTAATCTTTAAAATGTTTTTGTCCTGTTGATAGGGAAGAAGGTTGCCAAGAAATAAGAGTCAAAGATGGCAAAATGGATAAAGAGCCAGCATGCTTTTTTTCCTACCAAGATAAACCTCTAATAAGTAATGACTTAACTCTGGCTGGGCTGTTGGGACTTTGGGGTAAAAGATCTGAGTGGATATTCTCTAGTTAGTTTGGGGAAGCACTTGATGAGGTTGAGATCTGAGGGGCCCTGAGGGGACCCAGGAGCAGTTCTCATCCTAGGTTCACTTGCTATTCCCTGGACCACAGAAAGGCCTTACATCTGAAATTAACACAGAACTCTGCCACTCCACACCCACATCTTATCATTAAATGACCTTTCAAGTGGGTCAAGTAATACTTCACCAGAATTCAGTTCTCCTGCAATTTTAAACATCCCAGAGAAGTCACACACTTATTAAGCTCTCACACTGGACCAGGGCACTTTCCTGAAACAGTCGAAGATTCTGGAAGGTCTAGAAAATAGGTAGAATTTTTTGGGCTTGGTCCACCCATTCCACGAATGGGTAGGATGGGGGGGGAAGTCTTTACAATGGCCAAGTCATTGTTGGGTAGCAGTCAGAGGAGGACACTGCTTTGGTGGCTGGGGTCCTGAAAATTATACATGCCTGTGCTTCCCCTTCAAGATACCAGGGAGATGCCCTTGGCCAGCCTCACTGTGTGAGACTTAGCTGGGGCTGGGATCTGTATCTCCTATGGTGTCTGTCCTGGAAACAAGCAGGTCATGGGAGAGGAGAAACCTGAATGGGGTGTGTGAGGTAAGGGGCAAGAAGTGACTGGGAGAACAAAGACCAGCTGAGAAGTCTGCATGTTTCCCCAAGGCTGGCCTTGGCAGAACAGGTCCCTCGGCCAAATGTAATGGGATGGGTGAAGGTGGGTGATGTGTCTCTTGTCTTGAGCACCAAGCTGCCTTCCCAACATGGGTGATGGGCATTTCCTCCTTAGCCCTGAGAGGTTCCACAGAACAGCTAAGCTAAGCTAAGAGTCTTCCTTCACAGAGTGCCAACAAATTATACTTGGTCAAAGAACCCACATTTCAACCCACGGTCAAGTGTTCCCATCTTGTTCATCTTTGGACCTTCTAAAACAGAGTCTTTCCCACTGTAGAAGTTAATATAAATATTTCTATGTTCATATAGAGATAGTTCTTTGAATCGAATGTCAAAAAGATCACCAAAGTCAAAGGCATCTATTCAGTGGCCTCAAAATAGCTCCCAAACCCAGCCTAGACATAGGACCTCTTACAGGGGAGGTCGAATGGCGTGTAAGGTCCTTCATCATCATCCTCATCCTCCTCTTCCTCTTCGTCATTCTCGTTGTTCTCATTGTCTTCATTCTCATTCTCTGTCTCATTACCAGCCTCTGCAACAATATCATCCCTCTGAGTCCCATTCACGCCTCTGTCTGGGGCACTGCTGGGCCCTGTCCCATTCTCCACGGTGTGCTTAATTGGGATTTTGATGGCCACCTCCGATTCTCCATTGGCATAGGCCCTACTGTTTATCAGTCTTTGTCTCTGGAAAGAAAAAGGCACATTCTTACCATAGTCAGAAGAACTGTAGATCTGCACACCCAGAACACCAGCTACTGGGATCTTTTTCAGGCAGCTGACAAGGAGATGCTTCCAGGAGATTCTGCAGTGAATCTTAAGGGATTCCTCAAAGTAAGAAGCAACTCAGACAACCTCCTTCTGGGAGGAAGGATTAACCTTTTATGACCCACTGGAGTGTTTTCTACCAGCATTCTTGATTCCTGTGCACTGTAGTATTATCTTTCTTCTCTGGACTGTAAGAATCCCTTGGACCATATGAGAGAAAGCCACATAGATGTGTCTGGACTAGTGTATCAATAAGGCTGTGACTTCAGAAACAGGGATACACAGGAAAATTCAGGTCAGAGACTACATTACTTTAAAATAAGGCAACCTTGATTTAGCAAGTACTTCTGTGCCAATTCACATCAGAGAGCTTTATCCAACTGGAAGATGAAAAGAAAAAGGTATGTGGAAGGGAACAGAAGAGTTTTTCTATATAACTGGGAGCCTGGTCATGTCTTCCAACACGTGGAGAGAAGAGCAAGAACCAGGATGCACAGCTGGGCCATGGGCAAAGATGTTGGGAAGCAGCAGAGGGGTAATATTTTGTTAAATATAGAGTTTGGTATTTCTATTCTCAGACCAAGAAACTTTCTCCCCTTCCCAAAGTCTCCCATCTCTGTCTAGCGGCAAATGGAGTGTGCTTTCCCAGATACCTCATTGATCAACATGCGACTGGCCATGGAGAGTCGGGTCTTGGGAGGAAAATGGCTGGTGATCATGATTCGAAGTCCAGCCTCAGAGAAAGAAAGCTGGTGAGGGTAAGCTGACAGCAGCTCATCTACCATAATCACTGACGCTTTGCGGTGGAAATTGGCTAGGGAAATTAAAAACATAAAATAAAGATATTATTGAGGCTAGAAGCAGAAAAGAGATATTTATTTAGTCTTCTTTCCCCTCCTTCATCCCTCGGCCCCTCCTTCCTTCCCACCTACTCATTTATCCATCCATCTACCCATCTATCCTTCTTTCTGTCCACCCAATCATCCATCCATCCATCCATCCATCCATCCATCCATCCATCCATCCAACCATCCATCTTTCCATCTACTCATCTATCCTTCCTTCCTGCCTTCCTTCCTTCCTTCCATCCGTCCACCCACCCATCCTCCCATCTACCCATCTATCCTTCCTTCCATCCACCCAACCAACCATCCATCCATCCAAGGTGCAAAATATGGAGAAGAGTCAAACTCTTCTTTCCATTAAGGCTCATTGATAGCTCTTTTGAAATGACTTGAAACAATATAAGCATCATTCACTGGCATGGTAAGAAAGAGTGATAAGAAAGAGAAGTCCTCTGTATCTTCAAAGGATTTTTTTCCCACCACTCAGACTTGGGGCACAGGAAAGATCCCAATAATCTTTAGTAACCCTTTATGCCTTTCAAATGTCAACAATGTTCAATGTTCTGAGCTGTTAAAAGCTGCAGCAATGACTTTAGTGCCAAGTGGAGGGCTTAAGTGGGGAATTAGTACATTGCTGCAGCCCAGCCTATGAGCAAGGCTGACAAAGGGGCAAAAGGGTAGGTGAACCAGCTACATGACAGAGGCCCAAGGTCCAGAGTGGCCCGAACTGTTACACAACATTTGCTGGCAGTCCTGATAAATAAGTTTCATCAAGGCCCAACACCCTCTCTACAAACATGCGATATGAGCACACAGCTCATAGGTGTCTAGCCACACACTCTGCTGGTGGTCACCCCTGTTTTCCAAGCCACTAAATCATGAAATGATCTCTGGAAACATGGACTAATATGAGGTAGCTCTTTTTGGTTTCCTAAGAGTATTCCTTTAATGGTTATAAACTATCCAGAAGAGAAGAGATTCAATGAAATCCTTTTGTGGGATGGCACTGAATACTTAAGTCTTTTGCTAAACATAATTAGAAAAGTTTATCAAATAATTGATTTTCAAATTCTAATAATTACCTCAGATTTAAAACTCAGATTTGAATAACCTATAGATTTTCAAATTTCTTTTGTTTTTCCTGCAAAGCAACCATATGAGACCAAGAAGAAATAAACCCACACATTTTTAGAGAAGGTTAAAAGAAATTGAAAAACCAAACACATTCTAAGGCAAAAGTAAATGATAAATTTCTGTGTTCCTCTAAGAAAGAATATTTTTTATTAGGGAGCACTTTCTTAGTTCTCTCAGTGTATCAATTGCTTAATGAGAATCTATTGAATACAAGAATTACTTCGAAAAAAGGAGGGGCAGCAATTTTCTGTTATTTTGCAGCCTGGATACAGAGGTAATGTAGCCTGAAAAAGAATGTGGATATAATAATATACTAATAGCAACTATCACTAATGGGGTAATTTATATACTTTATCCCCTTTACTCATTACAATTATCCCCATTTTGCAGAAGAAAAAATTGAGGTTCAGAAAGGATTATTAATTGGCTTCACAGTCAGATAGCCCAAATGTGACAGAGTCAATACCTCAAGACCCCTGGTCTTGTCTCCTTTATTGTCCTGTCCTAAATCCCCTGTGTCACTGCCAGCAAATGTTTTGCCCAATGAAGTTTCCCAGGCAGCTCATCACCGGGTATGCCTGCCCGAAGATGTATCCAAAGGGAGGCAGGGTGGCCTGGAAGCTTCTCTCCCTTGGTCTCCTCTGGGGCAGGCAGCCTCCCACTGGCCCAGCCACAGTACTCCAGGGGTGTGCCTGAAGGTGGGCAGCCAGGCATCCTCCCAGCGCTCCCTCCTGGGACCCAGGTTGTCCGCAGGTACCTTTCTTCAGTAGCACCACAGTTGCGTCACAGTTGCTGCTGTCGTCAATTTCAGCATTGTTGGCCAAGCCATTGACCATGTTTCCAGCACTTTTCGTCCTCCTTTCGAAGCACTGATGGATGCAAGCATTATATCTGAACAAAGCAATGAGCAGAAGAAGCCCATCAGCCTGTGTGTCCTGCAGCTGTCAGTGCAGGCACATTGTAGGGGACCCCATACTTCAAGTTATCATTATTCTGTATTCATGTCCCCATGGAGAAATGCAATCTGTCCTATTTTCTGAGTGAGTGAAAATAAAACCAACATCACATAAGTAAATAGAGACATACTTCTTTCTTTGCAAATATTCAAGGTCAGTGGTGGCATTGTGGGATTGAACTCCCTTGCTCACAGTCCATGCTTGGAAGGGCCATGATGAGACTTAGCAGGATGGACAAGGTCTACTTTCTCTTGGCCATGTCTCCAGGACACACCCCTTTGAAGGGCGTGCTGGGTGGGGGAAGGAGAAAGTGTCACATCCATACTGCTGCCCAGTCCCAGTGCGTCATGGTCTGCGGGCTACAGGCCAACTGGCACTCTAGGTCTCTGTTTGGTTTTCTAAAACCATAGGTTGTGGTCCTGGGAATCTCTGTACATAGTGGGCCACAATTCCAGGTAAGGTGGATGGCTTTAGGAAACAATTCTGGACTATGATTTTCCAGAATGATTGGGTGAAAACATTGTGTCGTCTTTCTTTTAGTCTTTTGTGTTGGAAGGGAAGACGCTTATATAAATTCCTAGCATGTTTTTGGCAGCTATATATTTTTACAATATTAAATATCCTTTACTATTAGAAGACCCCCAGAGAGGAATCCTTGAAAACTCTTGGGAAAACACAGCCAGGCAGTTTCCAGAGCATTGGAGGCCACTGCTATTTTTTGCCCCATTCAAATAGCTAAAAGCATCAGTGGCTTACTAGTCATGGGACAAGCCATGGGACAACAACAACATGTTGCCCCAGCTTGATCTCTGGCCTCCCAGAGGAACTGCAGCCAGGCATGGCAACTCTAAATGGCCAGCTGGTAGGCCCCTCAAGCTGTATTTCCTCACATAGGCTTCTCTTCCACATCCTTTACTGCTACAGGCTCTCTGGAGTCTGCTTCACTGGCACATATTTCTGTTCTTCAGTGAGAGCAGCTCTGGGTGGGTGGGCCATCCTGGTACAGATGGAGGGACCCTCTGCAGCTGGACAGCCCCTTCCTGTACTCCCTGGGAGCTTATGGTTCATCCTCCATGGCATGAAGGAGACTAGAAAACTAGTCAAAAGTGATGATGGTTTCTGTGAGAAGGGAAGTGGGCAGGGCAGTCCTGGGACACTCTCAGGCTTTATATGAGGCAGAGAACAGAACCAGAACATCACTTTTTGCAACCCTAAAGAAATAATGGGACCAGATCTTGTGCATGGATGGCTCCCAGCATTACTGACAGAGTGATTGGAAACATCAGTGTGCCTGTTGGTGGCAGAACTCACTGCCACTTGGGACACAGTCTACCCTAAACTGGATTGATGGCTGGCATACAGGAAACACAGGGGTCAAAGGAACAGGCCACACCACAGCATGGGATGTAATCAATAATTTCCAAACTGTGGGAAACTGTGTAGCTAACAACCCAACTTCATCAAAGAATAAATTGCAAGGAAAAAGAAAACCAGAGGGGGGATTCATAGATTAAAAGTCTGAGCAACCAATGATAATGAGTGGGATTTATTTGGATTCTGATTTTAAAAAATATTTGGGAGATTAAAAGAAACTGTAAAAAAATGTCATTCATGAGATCAATGAAAGTTTGAATATTGATTTGATATTTAATTCTATTGAAGAAATAGCATTAATCTTGGGTGTGATAATGATGTGGTGGTTATTATGTGAAATTTGAGTCCTTTTACACACGTATCCTGAGGTTTTGATAGATGAGTTGGCATGCTCTCTTGGGCTTCACACCATGTGGCGGGGAGGAAATGGGTAGTGGTGTGGGCTGCTGGCTGTCAGCGCTGATGATGAGCATGGGGGGTGGCTGTCATACCATTCTGCCAGCTTTTGTAAATATTCAAATTCTTCTTAATGAAAAAGTGTCCCCATTTTCTTACTGACAGAACTATGGAGGAGAGGCAGAATTTCTATCATCTTGACTCAAAATCCATTTCCCCACAGAAATACCAACTTGCATGAGGCTTTGCTTTGAAAGTATAACCATGTGCTACACATTTATTTGGCTTTGGAAAACAAAGTAAGAACACTATGCCTAGAATTATTACGAGAGCTTTCTTGACATTAGATAGTGGTAGTAACTTAACTATGCTGTCCCATTTCATGCTTAAGAACAACCTTTGCAGTAGGAGGCGTTAGGATCCCCGTTTTGTAAGCGAGGAAACAGATTCAAAATGGCGTCATAACTTGGCTGCTGGCAAGTGGCAAACTGTGACGTGTGACCAGGCCGGGCTGAACGTGCAACCCTTGATCTCAACCACCAGACTACATTGCCTCACCTGGGGACCAAATCCTAAGGAAGGGACCCAGAAGTACAGAAATCAATCCTCACCAAGTCCAGGTATGCCTCATGTTCCCTTAAGGTTTCTATCTACTTGGCCAAACCGAAATTGCTTTTTGACCTTCAGACAGAATGTTTAAAGTCATCCACCCAGGAGGCAGCTGACAACTCTAATATATGCGTTTTTTAACTGCTGGTACTCAGTTTTATATTTTTAATTGAATGTTTTAAATTTTGTGCTTGCACCCTGAAGCTATTTTATTGTGGAGCATGCAATTTTATAAATCAGATTTTATAAAACCCCATGATTAAAGCCTCTGATTGCGGACAGGGATGGCTAAAGAGCAGAGATTTCAATTTAGAACTTGCGACCAGAATTTATGCAGAAAATTCTGTGAGCACAGTAGCTGCCATTCCCTGTTTTATTTGTATCCTGCTGGTTTGAACAGCTGGCAGGCTGGGAAAGTTGAGGCATCAGCAGAAACACACCTCATTAGCTTTCACACTGGGCACAGTTTGGGGGAGAGGAGAGAATTTGTTCACGGTGTTATCTTAATGTCCACATGCCCTATCAGCAACACATGGGCTTTATGATGGCTTGGTAGAGGGGTGCAGTGGTCACAAGATACATATTAGCAAAATTCCTCAACATTCTTTCCCTTTAGACTAACTCTGGTGTAAGCCCTCCTTATTTTGTAAAGCCCCCAGTAAGTGCACTATGGGATATGCTGTCTCTAAATTTGGATTCAAAACCCAAGACCAATGTTTGATATACAGCAGACAGTCAATTCTTCTGCAAATATCAACTAATTCATCCTTTCAAAGGGGAAGAAAAGGACTCTTGACTCTTGGGGAACTCAAACTCAGGGCCTCAACAAATTAAAAAAAAAGTGAAATAATCAAATTTAAAACACATTGAAAGAAGATGTGTATTGTTGAGACCTCCCCCGATTGCTGAGACCACTGATTTCCTAATGGTTTTGCTATTTGAGAGAAGGAGGAGCAAGATGTCTTCAGAGACTCTCCTTTTGGAGTCTAGAAACTCTGAAAGGCCTTTGGGCCAACTCTGGTTTTCATGGGAGCCCATCAATTGGTATTTTAAGATGGAAGGTGAGTATTGATTTCTTCAATCAAGGTTATAACCAGGGTGACAACCAAGGTTATCAAGGTGATAACTAATTTCTTCATCAGTTATCCTGTGGTAATCCTACACCAGGCTACTCTAGAAATACCCTCTTCCAGTAACAAGACCCAGATATCAGGTCCACACTGACCATTGGATAGCTCTTGAGGTGAAGGCTGGATGCCATATTGAGTGGACTGGCCACTAACTACTTACAGCCCACAGTGGACATCAGCTGAGCCAGCTCCTACATTTACTGTTCATGAAATGTCTGCCAGTGGCCACGCTGATTTCTCAAAAAAGGTCTCTTGGACACTAGTGGCTGGAACTTATTTTTGTCAGACTTTAGTAGAAAAGACACTTTGTCATGTCAAATTCCAGACCACTACCTGACACATCCAACTGGCGATTTCTGATCATGTGGTACTTTCTTGCCCCCTGAGAAGGTAGTCACAAATGCTGGGGAAAGTATGGGTTAATTTAGAATGAAACAGTTCCCATGGGGTCCAGCAGCTGCAGCATGGAATGGCTCTGCATTATTTATGAGCTCCTCATCTCAATGGGACTTGGCAAAAAGATGAACCAGGAGGTTCACAGCCATGGTGCTTACATTTTGCTTTAGAGTATGGGAAACACCAGCAATATAATTCTTGAAACACACAGGAAGCCTCCCAGACTCTGGGGGGGAAAAGAACCTATGGAGTGGTGGTTTCTAAATATATCCACAAATTCTTTGAGACCCCTCCCTTCAAATGGTGAAGCAGACCCTCTGAGCGTGGGCTAGACTCACTTCTAATAAACAGAACAAGGCAGAAGTGACAGCATGTGACTTGTGAGACCAGATTAGAAAAGGCACTGGGGGTCCTTCTTGTTCTCTCTTGACTCACTTGCTCCCGTGCTGTGGAGACACTCAACCAGCCCTAAGGAGAGGCCCATATGCTGAGGAACTGAGGGCTCCAGCCAACAGCCAATGTTAGCTCACAAGCAGGTCATTTTGCAGACCCAGTTAAGTTGATGACAACTACCCCAGCCAACCTCTTAACATTGTACAATCTCAAGGAAGAAAGGAAAACCCTGAGCTAGAACTCTCTGGTTATGTCCTCTTAGATGCCTGACTCAGAAACTGTAATTAGATAATACATGCTTGTAGTTTTAAGACACTACATTTTGGGCTCATTTGTTACACAGCAGTAGGTGATGAATATGATATAAATAATGCAAGTCTGCAGGTATTCAGTCCATTGTTTTATTATCTCTTAATTAGCTCTGGTCCCATCTTTGTCACCCTACAGAGAAGCATGACTTAGTGAGTTCTACTCCTTTCCTGTTATGAAAGAGAGTGAAAACAGCCCAAAACTTGGTTGCCAGATATTAAAGGGGGGGTAAAGGGTTTGAGAGATTTCTCAAATTAAACACTTAAAGCTTTGATTCCATTACTGTATGGGGGTTTGAAGGGTCTTTGCTATTGCCATGGATCAGAACTTACAGTGCCGCACGCAGGTCTGAGGGAACCGAGGAGACTGTAATCAACAGCACTGAGAGCCAGCCTGCTACCTGCCCTGCCTCCATTCCTCTTTCCACATTATCCTGTCATGCTCGATGTAGGAAAGAGTTTTGGGAAAGAAAACCGAGAAGGCATGTTACTTACTTCATGATGACGATATAGATGAGATACATCAGCACGAGGACTAAAGACTCCCACCTGTGTAAAACCAAGAATGGCTAGTTAAAGAAAGTCATCACAGGCAGATGTGCAACACACCAGCCGATCTCGAAACATCCATGCCACATGGAGGACAGTTACACCTGGCAAGCAGGGCGAGGAGAAGCCACATGTGCAGACGGGTTACAAGTATTTCCTGGTCTGTAGACACAGCTTTCAATGGGATTGCTTTCGTTCTCTACCTAAAAGGAAAATGCTCCTTCCCTTCCGTCATTCACTCACTGAAAGTTCTGTGAGAGCACAAGTCTACCATAATATTGCTGATTATAGGCCAGTATTTATAAACCCGCCCATAGCTTAATCGTTCACTAAAACTATTCAGATATATTTATAAAGAGCAAACTAGAGAAATTGACAGGGATGACCCAGGGATTGCTGGATAGGAGAAGACAGGCATATGGAGAGAGGGAGGGGGAGGGGGAAGAGAGAAAGGGAGAGAGAAGGAGGGAAGGAGGAGGTTGGGAGAAGAGGGGAGAGGAAAGAAGGGAGAGGAGGGAGGGAAAAAGAGGGAAGGAGAGAGAGGGAGAGAGGCAGAAGGAGGGAGAGAGAGGGAGAGGGAGGAAGATGGAGGGGGAGGGAGAAAGTGAGGCAGGAGGAGGGAAAAAGGGGGGGGAAGGGGGAGGGAGGGAAGGAGGGAGAAAGGACACCTGGGCAGGGAAAGTGCCAGCAGAAAGGATAAGAATGGACAACTGGAAAATGGTCAAGAGAAAGTAAAAAACCCAATGAAATGTACCTTGAGGTTCTGATAATTTGAATACTCCTACTTTATTCATTTTAGTAACTTCCAGTTTCAAAACCAAGGAATTTGATTTCTAAGTTCCCCTTTTAGCTGTAGAACTGAGGGAGTAATTCTGGTTTTGTGAAAAGGTTAGTGGTGAGTGGTCTATGAAGAAATTCTGGGTTATACCTTCCTTTTCTGTTTTCTTCTCAAGTTCTATGTCTAAAACCTGGTCCTTGGGGAAGTATGTGGTCAAATTCAAAAAGGCTACACAGAACGGTTTTTGTTGTAGTGGTGTTTATGACCCCAAAGTGCTGGAAAACAGAGAGACAGTTGTAGGAGGGGAAGCTGGGTCCACCTGTCGCAGTAAGTCCATCCCAAACATTGGTTCCAAATCACTATGCAAGCTGTGTATGTGTATCTGGTAGAGAACGTGCTCTTGGTGCTACCGAGAGAAGAAAGTCAGGGGGTTCAAATCTCTCTACCTTCCTCCACATTTCTCGGCTCCTCTCTCAGCAAACCTTCTCAAAGCCTCACATGCCCTGCACCGTAGCACCTCCCACTCACTGGGCAATTCCTTGAGTCTAATATCCACAGTCGTCCGTCCCCTGACACACTGGTCCAGAGCACCAGCCACCTCCATCTGCATGTGCCCAGGGATGGTTCTCTGCCACCCTGTTCAATGTCCCTGCAGCAACTGAAGGCTGACCACCTGTCCTCATGCATGCAACAGTCTCTTCTCCTCACTTCTGAGAGGCCACACGGCTGGTTTTCCTCTTGTCATGCCCCTAACTTCTCCTTCCCTCCACCTCCCCCACTTCCCCAGGTGAACCTCTAAATATGGGACCCTCTTCTCCTTTTACCTACACGTTCTCCCTGGATGACATCATCTCGTCCTCCTGCTGTAAACACCAGCTGACATCTCCACCCCACACCTCTCCTTGGCACAGGTGCCTATACCCACAGTCAACACGGCTTCTCCATGTGGCATCTACGACGTCAGAGCAGAATCTGGAATTCCTACTTCCTGGCTTCATGCTCCCTGGGCTTTGCCACCTTAATCAACTGGACCACTCCCTGCCTGGTCAAGCTCCAAATCTGGAAATCAGTCTGGAACCCTCCTTGACCCTTGCCTTACATGCCTCAGAACCCCACGTCTGAGGTATTTCCTGAATTGTTGGCTTCAGCCCTCCCCACTGCTACCCACCAGGCCACCTGAATAGCAGCCTCTACACTGGTATCTGTGAGGCTACTGGATCATATCATTCTTCTGTTTCGATCTCTCCAGCTGCTTCCCAACACACTTGAAAAGAGAAAACAAAAAGTACTTCCTGTCTGTAAAACCCAGTTCTTCTATTCCTCCAATTGTCTGTGCCTGGTCTGTGCTCCATCCCACTGGCCTCCCTTCGTTTGCACACACAGAAGCTTCTTTCCTTCTCCAAGGGTCTTTGCACTCACTGCTCCTTCTGCTAAGAATAGTCTTCCCTTCACTCCTTGGCTGGTCCCTTTTATCCTGCAAATGCTGGCGGAAATGTCACCTCTTCCAAGAAGTCTTCCCTGCCTACACCTACTTCTCTATCACAAGACCTTGAGTATGTTCTTTAAACTGCTGACCAGTCTGTGCTTCCCTTGTTTATTTCATTGCTTATTAATGCCTGTTTCAGGCAGTCACTTGACAACACTCCTCATTCTTGACCCCTGCCTTAGCTATCTGGTTTCTCATTTTCCAGAGGCTTAGAGCAGATCCCTTGACAGCTGACTCCCCTTCCCTCCCCAGCTGCCCACTATTCTCTTCTCCGCAGCACAGGGAAGCCCTCAGTTCATCTGCATAGGATGAGACTTCCCTTAAAATCCATTTTCAGTTGCAAGAGACCTTTTGAACATTGTCCTTATTGAAACCAGTGTATGTGTGGCATAAAGTTAATTAGGAAAAATGAGGCTTAGTCACAGTGTTCATTTCGAAGGCAGAGATTCTCGAGATCCAAAGGGATGCCATGTAACTTGGATGCATTTTAATAGACTCAGGAAGGGAAACAGACCCACATCAGTGAACTATTTCAGCTAGGCTGAATGAAGTCCAGCTCTTTGTAAATAGGTAGATAGATACTCTCTAATTCATCTAGAACTTTTCAATGTTTTTTTTTCCCCCTCAAAACAAGCCCTTCCATTGCAATGTTCAAGTAAAATTCTGTTTTGTTACATTTTGGGGATGCCTGTGAGATGGGGGTTCTCTGATTCTTCTGACCTTTCAGGTTTGCTTGCTGGTACCCAGACTCAGGGCTCGCCCAGCGCTTCCTCCATAGGAAATACACGAGGCTCTGTGAGGCCCTGACACTAGCTAGCTGCTGTCCTCTCTGCTTTGGGGCCTGAGTGTTTGATCCAGTCGTGGCTTCATGTGCCTCAGAGTCCCAGGGATCGCCCCCGCCCCTGCCCTGTGCTGTGAGTGTCTCCAAATGACCCCATGATTACATGTCAACCGTCTGCCTCCTCTCTTGTCCCAAAGAGCCCCAAGGTGAAGGCCGACTTTGGTTTTGTGTTCTGTGTCTTGTTCTGGAACAGAGCCTGGGATTCAGGAGGTGTTTAGGAAATAGGCGGAATTGGACAGATTCCAAATACAGACCTCTAAAGTCACATGGCTTTTGTCCCCCTTCTCCCCCACTCCTCCTGGAGCTGGTTCTCCGCCTGCCTCTCCTAACCACAACCCATCCACTGTCCTCCGAGGACCTGGTCTTGTGGCATGATCTGGGTTTGTTCCTTCCCTTCCTGCAAAGTTCCATTTGGAACCACCTTCAACTGGCCCCTGGTTCTCATGCCCAAGATTGTTCTTTCTTGTATTGGAAGGTTTAGTCCCTGTTCCTCCCCATTCTCACCCAGAGGGCATGGCTCTGCTTTCCTAACTGTGGTCCAGAACACTCCATGCTGGTTCCAAGTGCCATACAGGTAGATATTCTCCAGGTCATGTTCCCAGGCCCTCTTTTCTCTCCCAAAGTTATAGCTTGAGGCTCAAAGAAGAAACAAGAACATCAACCTGGATCCTTTTGTTTTCTTGTCAGGCATTCAGACTCACTGAAGACATATTCCAAATTCCTTCTGGCAATATTTTGGGTCTTGTTGGGCTGTTATTATGGATTCAGGGTGAACATCCATCCTAACTGGTAAATCTCCAATGTTTTCTATTTTAAATGTCTTTAGGGGTAGTTACCTAACTGAAAAGCATCAAACATATATTCGCCTGCCTCTTGCTTGCTAACGAGAGTCTATGAGGTTGAGATAGCAAATGAGGACCCCTGGATCTGCAGGAGAGTGGACCCACTTCTAGGATAAATAATGATCTGTCTAGAGTTGTAATTCTATTCTGCCTGGCCATTTATTGGTCAACGTAGACCCAGCTGGGACCAAAGAGGTACAAGGAGGAAAGGTGTTCTTCCTGCTTCCTCCTTCTTGCCTTCAATCCAAACTCAATGCCTGAGACAATAGCAGTCCTCTTGAGACCATGAGGGAAAGGCCAAGAGAAATGCGGAGGCATCATATCACCAACAGCTAGGGTACTTGTTATGTAAGAAAAATAAACCACTGATTCTTTAACCCACTAGAGCTGGTTTTCCACTGTAAAAACCTTCTGCCTGCCCTTTCCTGGCTGCTTGAGATCTGTTGCAGAATGCTGATTCAGGAGTGGTAGAGGCATCTAAGCTGTGGATGATGGGGAAGGGCTACCCCTACGTATTGTACTTCACGAGGCTCCTTTAGTCCTACAGAGTACTCTTGTTTCAGAAGATACACAACTGAAGTTAGTTTCCTTTTGAGGATTTGGGATGAACTGGTTACCTCCCTTGAACTCAGTCGGACATGATGGAGTTTTCTACAACAAGGAATGGAATTCACTATTAAAGGCATTCGTGAAGTATTGCTGTGTTCTAATTGCATAGGTTGAAGAATCTGACATTAAAGGGAGAAATGAGGGGCGCCTGGGTGGCTCAGTGGGTTGAGCCGCTGCCTTCGGCTCAGGTCATGATCTCAGGGTCCTGGGATCGAGTCCCGCATCGGGCTCTCTGCTTGGCAGGGAGCCTGCTTCCCTCCCTCTCTCTGCCTGCCTCTCTGTCTACTTGTGATCTCTCTCTGTCAAATAAATAAATAAAATCTTAAAAAAAAAAAAAAAAAGGGAGAAATGAGAGAAGTCAGCACCTAGACACATCCTTTCAGCAAAACAAATGTTTGTTGGTTGGGTATGAAAAATACCCAATATTTTTGATGGACAGCAAAAAATACCTTAAAGTTCAATATATTTTGCATTTAAATGAGGAGCTAAGATCCCTGGAAGTCCCAGAGCAGTTATGGTCCAGTGGCGCAGACTTGAATCTCTTGGCCTCACTCACGTGGAGAATGTTCTCCATTAGCCCATCCACATAACAATAATTACGTAACAGGTTGGCAGTCTGCGAATGATGTCCTGGTGCCATGAAGCCTCCCCCTTGTTCTTCCCTGCAGCTACTCCTGTGCATGAGCTAAGATTCTAACCCAGCCCAGGCTGGAACCAAACATACTTGGGAATTTGCAATTCATTCTTTCACGGCCTTCCTGTCTCCTTCTCCATGTGGGAGCCTCGGTGCTCACGCTGAGGGCCTGAGGACCTCAGGATCTGAGCCCTTCAGTGCAGGCCCAGGGTTCTAACCTCATAACATCCACAGGAGATCTGGCTTTTGGAATGTAGAGGAAACAGCCTCTCTCTTTCTTGCTTCACACTATCTGAAAGATCCTAAAAGACATTTTGAGGGTAAGGACTGAAATAGGCCCGCTTTCATAGCAAAGCCAGGGAGGTAGAGAAAAGAGAGCTCTCTCTAAGAAAAACCAACAGTAATCCACCCATAGCTATACTTTCTTAAGGTTTTCCGTGCAAAAACAGCAGAGAAATTCCTGAGATCGAATGCAATCATAACTTATCTTTATGGCAGTGTTGTGAGCTAAGAGCAGCAACACTGAGCAACACTTAAGCACCTACTGTTTGGTAAGGTAGAGTGGGGGTCATGCTAAGTGTGCCATCATTTGGAGTAAGAATAGTTTTGCAAGTTTTCTTGTGCTGCACTCCATCCCCAAGAACATGGGAAGAAGATGTCACCACTATGCTTGGATACCTCGTCCAGACAAATCCCATGAAGATGCTCTTCCTGACCACTGACCTGAGGTGCTCCCAGACATCTTAATCCCTTTTAGCCTGCTGGTCTTGGCTTCTCAAAGAAGACCTTCTTATTTCTTATGCGTTGACATAAAAATGGTGTGCCTTAAAACATGTTCTCCTAGCAGTCTCCTTCCTACCCCTCCTGGACAGAGGAATGAGAGTTGGCAAAACTACACTTAACACCTTGGCACGGTGAATCACATTTACCATCAATGGGGCAAGCTCCTCTGCCGTGCCCAAATTCTGAAAATCAGAGATCCTAAGACAAAGAGATGTCACTCCCACAAACGGCTCTGCTCATATGCCAAAAGCTCATTCTAAGCTTTAAATAATACCATAAAAGTTGGTCTGCTTATCTAGTTGGTCTACTAGCTATGCTGTCACACTATCCCACAGATGCTATTTCATGTTTCTCTACATCTACAGATCAAATATTCAAGAATAACATAACAAGAATGCACAACGCACTCAATTTCTATTTCCATTCCAAACATAACTGACTTGCTCAAAACTCACCTGAGAAATGATGCATAGTTGGCCCAAATGTAAATGTTCTCATAGATGTAACCTGGCTAAAGCTTTGTTATCCATTAAAAAAAAAAAAAATTACTGATTTTTCAGAGATCTAAGATAGTCTTGAATGTCAGATAGAACTTTAATGGGTAAAAGACAACAGAAGTGCCTCCATCTCTGGTTCCTGAAACACACATGGTATTTGGAATATGCCAACACAGTCTGCACAAGATCTGTAAGGACCAGGAAATGGCTGACTGCAGAAAGCCCCGTTAAATCACCCCCTCTCACCTGGATGACAAAGACAATGGGATATTATCATCCCAAATGGAAGGCCACCACCCCGGGCCGGGAGGGGCGGGGTGGAGGGGAAGGTCTCTGCTCTGTGAAAGCTGATCTAATGTCTTTGTTGAGGTCCACAGGGAGGTCCCAAGGAGGGCTAGTTGTTCCAAGCTGCCAGGACATTCCCCTTTCTTTCTTCAACCCTGACTCTAGTCTTCAATATATATTCGCCTCCGCCATACAGCCAGGGGGAACTGGAAGGGAAAAGGAGGTACTTACCAGGAAACTTGTTCATCATAAATGAACTGTAAAAAAAAAATAAATAAATACAAAGGACAATTAGACATGCACACACATGTGCGCGCGCACACGCGAGGTCTGCACGCACACGCATGCGCGTCGCCCACCCACGTAGCCAGTTTGGCAGGAATCAGCCTGGGACTGGCCTGCAACACCGAGGATCTGCCGACCAACTTCCCTCTGTGCTGGTTCCGCTTCCTGCTACAGTTAGCGGAAGGAGGTGTTGTTGGCAAGCTGGGGCGGCGTGTTGCGGAGGGGAGAAGCACCGGGTAATCCCTTCCTTTTTGCAACTTCTGTCCAGCGGTGGACAGACTGGGAAGCATGACCACCTTTCTGTGCGGAGCACGAGGCGCTGTCGAATTTTAGATCCGGAAGGGGCTAGGGGAGCCTGGCAGGTGCTTCCAAACATCAGGAACTGGGGGCCGCCTGTAAGACGTTTGCACGTCTCGGGGCTCTCTACAGCGCCTTCCAGCTTTTAGGCAAGCCCTCGGACTTCTGTGTACTCAACGTTTTTCTTTTGGTTGACCTACTTTTTTGTTTGTTTCCTTAAAAGAGTTCATTTTCAAAGGAAACTCTGCATCACAACCAGAAGCAGAGATTCCGCTTGGCTTGCCGCCCTGTGCAAAGGGTGGGAAATCAGCTCAGTGACAAGCCCCAGGGGGCATCGCAGGCTTGCCAGTGCCCTGGGCCATGGGCCTGCCCGTTCGTTCCAAGGAGATTCGCGAGGGTCAGAGGTGGCTGGAAAGATGGACCAGTGCCAAACGGAGGTGTCCCCCCGGATCAGCTAGGATCCAAAGGGAAAGCACAGCAACGATTGAATTCGCTTAAGCCAGAGCCCAAATCACTTCTCACTTTGGGGGAAAGAGTGGTGTCACCCTGGCCCTTTGATTTATACGGGGAAATGGAGCCACAGAGAACACAAGGAATTTTGGGTGTTCAAAGAGCTGAAGGTGTGCAATTAGCTGCAGAGTTGGTTCTAGAACTCAGACCTGGTTCTTAAGTCTTCTTTCCATGACACATTTCCTTCCCCGGAAGGTGCACTGTTGAAAAGTGGAAGCTAAGGGTTGCTTCATCGCTCGCTCTTTACACCTTCATGGGATATGACTGCTCAGGGTACCACCAGCTCTGAGCACTTTTTTCCCGGGGGTCTGTGGCCCTCCAAGACAGACTCCAAGGCAGAAACCTCTGGGTGCAAGGGGTCATTACTGCATGGAGATGGTACACCCAACAGAAGACACGGGCATCACTTCCGTCCTGAGAGAGGATAATAAGCAGCACTTGTGAGACACGCAGAGAAAACTGCACAGCCGAACAGGTGCGGCTCCAAAGACACCAGAAAGGACTTCTCTCCAATTATCCCGAAGGCGCAAAGAGAAGATGAGAACAAAGGGGCCCCACTTATTTGTAGCTCATACTTCCTGACAAGACACTGAAGAAGATGTTGGCTTCAGCAGCTTTGTGACTCTTGTGATCAGATTCAACAGGTTGACATTTGGATGAAAATGTCAAAGCGGAAAGGGAAGAGAATTAAAGAAATAAAGGAAACCATCCTGCAATCCAGGCTGGGTGGTCTGCAGTCCACCCCAGAAGGCATTCACAGATTCTTTTGTACCAACACTGGCTTAAAAAAAAAAAAATCCATTGTCAAGAAATCAGGGAACAGAACAAATGATTTAAGTTGGAAAATATTTCTATTAATTGAAGTTAATTTAGTATCAGTGCTGGAGCAATCAATGCTCGTCACTCAGGAGAGCATGAGATACTGGTAGAGTTTATTAAAGTGCCAATTTAATTTTTGTCTGAAAGACGAAAGGGAAGGCAGGTGATACTGCATAACAGAAAAGCAGCTTTCAGGAGGCCCTTATTCTGTGCCATCTGAGTGACTTGTGGGGGCACAGATCAATAGGTCTTTAACGATTATTTCAGTGATCATATTAATGGGGAAAAAGCAACATAGGCGGAATTGTGCAAAGGATCCCAAAATGAGAATGGGATTTACAGAGAACACAATACATCAGGGAGTAGTGAGGTCTGGACTAGATGCACAACTAAGGACATCATGAGCCTGATGTTAAGGTATCGGGGGTGGCCAGGGAGGTCGGGGGTGGGAATGGGGTTGAGGGAGGCAGACAAGGAGAGAGGCCGATGGTCTTGCTAGGAGTCCTAACAGATGGAGGTGATCTGGAAGCCTCCAGATAATTAAGCAGTGATACCCCCTCACTGACCACTTGTGGCCAGGAGACCGCAGATGCCCGGTGCCTAATGAGCAAACATTGCCTGGGATTCATCTGACTTCTTTTAGAGGGCTGGGTGGAAAAATGAAAGGACTCAGGAAAAAGAACAGTAAAACAGAGAAAAGGAATAGAAGCCAGGCCTTTAACCTACATGGAACAGGCATGTTGGTGGTGGGAAAGGAGGTGGACGGTGAGTTACGAATAACTCTGGACCTTGCTGGTGGCACCTGGATGAGGCTGGGCCAGGGACTATCCCCCACTCAGAAGACTGAAAATGAGGAAATCGACACTGCTCACAGCATATTCCCTCTAGTTCCTGGACCACCCTGACAGAGTGCTGGAATTGCTCTGTCTGAAAAGTCCTAAAATGACAAGGACAGGCGACTTTCTCACTTGATGCTGCTGATGGTTTCAGGGAATGGATCTGTTACTTTGCCAACAGGTATCTTATTTCATTTTATTCCGTTTTATTTTATTTTATATTCTTAAGACAAATACTTCATATCCTTCTGTATTTCCATGTTCTATCTGTGGGTAAAATAAGATGAAACAACTACCTTACTAGGGTAGAAAACTCCCTGAAATAATTTATAGAGGTACTTGGAAACAAGAAATCGTGCCCCCACTTCCACCCGGTCACCACTAGGTGGTGCTCACGTCCTACCCGCTGCCTGTCCACTCTGCCAAGGCAGGGAGGGGGTTTGGAAGGAAGTCAGATCAAGTCCGGTTTCAAGGCTCCATTAAACCTCTTGGGAAGAGGGTAAACAACTCAAGACAGACGGCTTCCTAACGGAGTCTTCCGCTGTTCTGGAGGCAGGATGCATTCTGAGTTGGGGACAGGCAGGTCCCTCAACTCATCCCACCACTCAAACCCTAGGACATGTGGCCTTTGAGGGACCTGCTGTGTGGCCTTCGGAACTGACTCACTCTTATCCCAGTTGGGTTTCTGAAAACAAGTCTTGCTTGGGAAAGCAGCCCTTCGTGCTTTGCTGCTTGTGTTTGCGGCTGCCTCCCGTGACCACATGTGGGTGGTGCAAACCGGTATCTGAGCCCCAGATTTGCTGCACACAGCGGGTCAGGGGACCTGCTCTCTGACTCCAGTGTGGTTCATCCGAAGCTACCTCTGGCTTCGCCCTTAAGCTTTCCACGTGTTCCACAGACCAGCTAAATGTGAACATATATGAACGAATTTGAAAACAAAAAACAAAAAAACAAAAACCCCAAACCACTCTTTTCCTTCAGGCCTCAGAGAAACAGTTGGGTACCATGGAAACCAGCTTTCAGCCCTGGTGTCTGCTCTAGAATTCTTCTGACAGAGACAGGCTTACATCAGGCAGGTGAATCCCTGGATGACAGAGCATCCCAGGGAAATGCGAAGGAAGTGGCATGCTCAAAGCAGAAGAGCAGGGAAAACAAGGGCCAGGAATCGCCCAGGTGTGTGGGCAGCAGACAGCCGGGCTGGCTTCTGAGCAGGGAGACAGGTGGCTGTCCCCACATTGCATGTCAGTCCATGGAGCAGCTTACTCTAAGCCGTAACCACGGAGCAGAAGCAGCCGCACTGAAGAACTTAAAATTTCCATAGCTTGTGCTATCATCACTGGCGCCATTAGAATTTTAACAGCGAAAGTAACAGGAGAAAATCAACACCACCATTCTCTTTCAAGACACTAAAATCCTGAAAAATCTTCCCTCCCTAGCTGGAAATGGAAAACGCACCCCTCCCCCTCCACTTCTCACTCAACAGCATGGAGGCTCCCTCAGGAGTTGTGGCCAAACAGGGACAGGGGGTGCAGATGGCATTCCTTCTGAGGAGAGGAATCCAATGGAATGCACTGGAAAGCTGCTGTTAAGCACCAGTATGGTTTACACTTGAAAGTTTTGTTTGTTTTTTTTTTTTAATTTTAAAAGATTTTATTTATTTGACAGAGAGAGACACAGTGAGAAAGGGAACACAAGCAGGAGGAGTGGGAGAGGGAGAAGCAGGCTCCCCACTGAGCAGGGAGCCTGATGTGGGGCTTGATCCCAGGACCCGGGGATCATGACCTGAACCAAAGGCAGACACTTAATGACTGAGCCACCCAGGCTCCCCCACACTTGAAAGTTAAATGGGATTTTCGACCTCCGGATCTCTAGCAGGCCCACAACAGTGGTGGGGGCTGCAGGAGTGTAGGAAATAAGGACTTCTTCAAAGCAGGGCTTGAACAGAGTTGGTCATCTCGTGTAAATATGCAGAAGCAGGCTATGGAAGGAAGGAAAGCAGATAATGGGATGGATTTAGGATACAGAGGAGGATAGTTGCCAAACCAAAAGGGCTCTGTTTGCTGAGCAGTGCAAAACCAAACACAGGCACATAACTGAAACTTCCAATTCGTTTTCCTTGTGAAAGAGAAGAGGGTCCTCTGTGCATCCCATAGTCTGGCTGATCCATGTCCCTGCTCTAGGACCGAGCACAAGGGAGACCCAGCTTCCTGGTATACCCCAGGAGCCTTTAGAGCACGCCCTTCTTCCTTTCAGTGGCAGCGATAATGTATGACCAGTGGCAGGCAACCCTTTGTATGACCAGAGTTGATTTAAGGAACTTAAGAAAGTCTCACATTCATTCCCTCTGACAATCTTCTAGCCACTGTGGTCAGTTCTCGCTTTCCCAGAAGGAGAGCTGAGATGTAACAAGGGTACCATGAGTGTAAGAGCCTCAGTGTTGCTGAACTGGAGAGAAGAAGCTACCTCCCTGCAAGGGAGGGGTCCGAGGAGGGAGGACAGGAAGCCAGACGGACAGGGCCCTGGAGGCCAGCATGGAGGTGGGGGAAAACAACAGTCATCAATCAACTAGTGTGAGATGTCTTTTCCCTCACAGATAGGGTGACAGAAGAAGATTCTGGATCATTTATGATCAGCTGTCTGAAGAAAAAAGGAATCAGGAGAGGGAAGGCAGGAGCTATTCCTTTCAGTCTAAGAATGTGAAGTAAGAGCAGCAGGCATGTCTCTCTAGTGGATGACTGCATAGCTGGTGAGGGACAATCAGGATGATTTCAAGGATGAAGAGGTGGATTTTATGGGAGGGGGAAAACTGAATTCTTTGCCAGGGCTTAGGGGGTGGGAGAAGGTGGAGAAGTACCATCTTAGACACCTGCAACTCCCCGACCCTAAGCAAATCCCTGAAAGTCTGGGGCCTCAGTTTTGCCATCTACAAAATGGGACTCATGCAATTAGCTAGCTTGCAGAGTCGTGAGTATTGAACTGGAAATTCTTCATGGACAGACCCAGTGTAGTACCTAGTCCTGTAGGAAGTACTGAGTCTATGCAGGTTAAAACTCAGGGATGCCTGGGGCAATGTGTATATATTTTCTCTGGATGGATCTGCTCTCTACAACTGTGTTCTCCGGTATGGTAGGCACTAGCCACATGAGGCTACATAAATTTCAATTAACTAAACTTCAGTTCCTTGGTTTCATTTCCTGCATTTCCCAGAGCTTAATAGCCACGTGTGCCCACTGGCTACACCACTGGACAGTGCCACCCAGGCCATCTCCAGTGACTGGACCAGCTGAATTGTCTCTATCCCCACAAAATCCCATCGAGAGGGGGGATCTGCAAGTAGCCCCCGGAGGAAGAGAGGGAAGTGTTACCTCGGAGGGGCCTCGCTGCTGTGCCCGTGCTCAGGGGGCCCCGAGGGCCCCCAGCTGGTGCCAGCGGCCCACCTGGCCCCTCTCCAGGTACGTAGCACTCCTGACTCTGGATCTGAGAGCCAGTTCAGACATCCGGACCTGTCTCCAAGGCCTATCCACTCCCCCAGGAGGCTTCCCTTCTCCTGTTGCTCACAAACCCCATCTCAAAGCGGAGATGAAGAGTAAAAATAAAGTATTCCTTTTTAGGGCAGCTGTTAGACTGAGGATGTAATGAATCATTTGCATTTATGTAAATTACATGATTATGTAAATTACAGTAACATTTCAATAAAAGAGGCTGTGGGGCCTGCTGGAATTTGGAGAAAGGGTAGGGCTAGGCAGAGCTGTCTGTGGTGGTGGACATTGGCTGGGGTGAGTCAATCAAATGGGAGAGAAGAAGCAAGAGGGTCTGCAAGGCTGTGGAGACTATCTGCTGGGTAGACGCACACAAGGACATGCTCCAAAGAACCCGGAATGCTTTTGGGACCTCAAAGGTGACACTTGTCTTGCAGCGATAGTCTTGAATCATGGGGCGAGCCTGCTGGGCCACGTTCAGCTTCTCCGAGGATGAGGCTTTGCTGTATAGGACGTCACCAGGGCCAAGTGTGGGGGTAGGGGGGACAACGCCTGATGGGGCAGGAAGGGCAGAGAGACACACACTACATGTTTTTGATATCATAACTGCTTTCGACAGTAACACGTTCCTAATTTCCTCTGCTTTGTCCCTGAAACACAACATCAAACCCACCAGAAAATAGCACAGAGCTAAGGTAGGTGAAACCCAAATGCCCAAGGGAAAAAGTCCCTTATCTCTAAGTTAATGGTCTTAAGTTCTGTTGGTTTCAGCGTGTGTTTGCCTTCTGGTCTTCTCCAGCTCAAACCTGCTACAGACCCAGGTAATCACGACTGTCTGTGCGCTCCTAGCCCAGCAACACGAGCATCCCTCCCAAAATTGTCTCCCTTGTTCTCTGGGTCCCCAGGCCCCATGGTTCATTCTTGGGGCTCCTCTGCCCGGGGCTGTAGGGGCTGTAGGGCCTCTCACAGGGATGTACAAAGAAGCAACATCTGGTCCCACTTAGGTGATTCTCATGCACCCGCTTAGTTAGGACTGTCCTGTGGGTGAACAAGATCTTTACCGCATCACCTCCGGAGACCCGCAATTCTGTCTTCTGAACAGTTCAGAACCATAAAAGGGGGAGAGGGTTAAAAAACAACAACAACAAAAAACCCTAATAGTTAAATTGTACGGATAGTTGGCAATTATTTGTGGCTAGGAGGAAGGCTTTTAAATACAGGAATTTTAAGGGTCCTGCCCCACTGCAGGGTCCTATAGAGAAGCCTAATATTCTATAAAGAAGGCCAGAAGAAAAGTGATTTTTTTTACCATGACATTTGGGGAAAACACAGAAAGAGGAGACTAGAACACCCTGACGAAAACAAACAGCAGCTGTGGTGAGCAGCAGCCTGGGGCTGGTCCATGGGACAGATCTGGGGTTGTTGAGAAATGCACTTTGCTAAATGCTGGACTTCTGTATGGAAGACTGTTCTCCTCACCCTGGTTTCAGGTCTCATTTGAAAATGATCCTGAGAATGAACAGCCATCGGCAATCCAGCCAAATAAGCAATCATCCTGCTTCATGTTAGAGAAACTCAACATTTCCTCCGGAAGCGGTCATCGCCAGGCAGCAGGTGGACTATCCCAAGGAAGTGGTGTTTCACTGTATTTGCTCTTGAGTTTCCCTGAAGTGAGTGTGGTGCATTAGAATCGTCTGAGGGGCAGGGCGGGTCCTGGCTGCAGTGAAAGTTCCTGTGTCCTGCCCTGGAGCTTACTGGATTAAGATCTCTGGGTTGCGCTCTTTCCATCAGCATGCTGGGTGTTTCCAGGGTGTACAGAAGTTGGCGGGAACACCGGTAAAAATAAGAAGAACCAAGACCAAACCCTAAGGACTCAAGCTTTTCTCTGCTATTGCTTCCTAACAGTGGAGAAATGTAATTTTTCTCAAAATCAGAAAACTCTAGTCTTCACATCTGGGCTGTAAATACACAGTCCAAATCTGCAGGGAATGGCAGAGAATTACTGGCTTTTGCATCTTGTTGCCATATGAAGGAAACACAGAGCTGCGGCAGCCTGGGTGTCCAGTGGGCTCAGCTCTGCGATTCATGGGCCACATGCTGGGTAGAGGACAGCTTTGCCCAAAGACCCCACTTGGGTGAGTGTCCCCTGCAGCCCAAGGAAGCAAAACTCTTTACTTCCTCACACATCATAATAACAATTACATTAAAAAAAAAAAATCCTGGGCATATTCAGGTAAATCCGACTGAAGACAAGTTATTTCACCCAGAGTCCAGGAGGTGTCTGTGCTGAGAACAGAAAAAGAAGCCAGTGTAGGCAATTCACTGTTGGGAGTGGACATGCTGAGTCTGTGCTCCGGGGAAATCTCAGCTTTTGTTTTCCATCTCATAACCTCATCTTTCTGGGAATGGTCATCTCTTTGCGAAATTCGGCAAAACAGAGAGTTGCATCTATTTATCGTGTCCGCAAGCCATGCCTTTTGAAATAGTAACTTTCAAGAACCAGAGCTAGCCAGAGAGGGAGGGGACCATGATTAGGAGTCAGATGCCCTAACTCCCATTTCAGTGTGTTTCTGATTCACCACCACCCTTCTTCTGGATGACTTGGCTAGCCAAGTGGGGGGTTTGGATTTGTCCCCACAGGTGACAAGGAGGCACAAGGCTGTTCTTTGTAGAGCTACCACTGGGACAGCTCTGAGGACTGACTGGGAAAGGAGGGAAGGGTGGGGGGGCAGTGATGCTTCTCATTGTCATACTGACCCGCGGCAGGCTGTCAGTTCCGGCCAAAGACATAAAAACCCTCAACTAAAATGGGCTATGAAGGGACACACTGGGGAGATTTTTACAAGATGAAAATCTAAAATGAAGCGAAATGGGTATGGTGGAATTGGGAGAAAGGTCAACTTAGTATCACCCACAGGTTGGGTGGCTAGGAGAGAAATGGAGGTTGAAATACAGAAAGAGCGTCCAGTCTTGGGGAAGTCACAGTAAGTTTAGAGACATGTTGAGTTTGGGATAGGAAGATGTCCAGTAGAGAGGGGCTTCTCTGTGACTGGACCTCAGAGAGATGCCATTGCCAAAAATACAGTGTAGAGGTGTTAGCACAAAGGTGGTAATGGCCATGGGAGGTGTCCTGGGAGGGCATACAGAGAGGGGGAACTAAGGTCACTGGGGACCTGGGGACAGGGCACACTGACACCGAAGAGAGTTCCAGAAGAGCCCATGAGAAAGTGAGAGGGAATGGTCAGGGGGTCCCAGGAAAACAGCAGAGGACTCGCATGGAATCAGGTAACCAGAGTCAACACTCCTGTTCTGCGCACCAAACTATCACACTGGGGCTCTGGGTGATCAAAGGAGCTGGAAGAAAGAGAAGCCACCTCCATGCATAGACATCTGTTTGCTTCTTTGTCACCAGAGACCTTGAACTTGTTCCATGCAGGGGAGCTGCACATAATCCCAAGTAATGAAAAGGATGAGTTAAGAGTCGAATGGCAAGGGGACTCAGATGAGGGGTGTGTCACACACTTACCACGATGAGCGCCACCACAGACAGAGTGTAGTAAATTGAATCCCTCAGCAGGCACCAGGAGGAAAGAGCCACAACCTGAATGAAAAGAGAAGACAGTAACAGGATATTCGACGGTGCAAAGGAGAAAGCATGGCTTCTGGTGGCTCTCGCCAGTGATAAACCGGGAACACAACTTAGTATTTCTGTCTCCTGGGCTGACCCCAGTCAATCTGCCTGCAGGTATGAATTTATGGAAGGCCTTTGGCTGTATTAGTTTGGATCTTCTGAAAGACAAATTCCAAGAAGGGATTAAACCTGCAACAGTTTTATGAGGGGAAGGCACTCATAAGAGAAAACGGGGAGGCAGCCGGGGGGAAGGTAGGAGGGCCACCCAACCCGTTTTGGGTCTGACCCATGTGAAGGAGGGAGGGTGGACATGCCCCAGGCTGCTGGGCAGCACGAGGAAGGCTCAGCAAAGCAGAGTCAAAGACCTGTGTCTCCCAGGAACCCACCAGCCTTAGCATTCCTCATGACAAGGGGATGAAGGAGCCACCCACCTTGTGTCCTTGTCAAGGCTCTCATGTTTGCTGCAGCCTGGGCTCATGGAATGAACCCAGGGCTGGACAGCCGTTGCCCTTCACAAGGGGCCTCTGCAGCCACCTCCTCTCACCTCTATTATATGCCTGTCCTTGTGGGCACCTGACTCATGATTTGATCAGAATTTTTTAAAACACTGATTTGCATATTTATCTGGAGAAAATGTTATTCTTAGCAGTTGGACAATGTCCCTTTAAGGATAGGATGGCTCTGCCATCATGAGGCCAGGAGACACACTGCTGGAGGCTATGACAGGCCTGGCCTGCTGTGTCCAGACTTCCTACAGGGAGAGGCCCCTGGATGAGACAAAGGGGGGCAATGGAGCCGGGCTGGGCTGTGGGGAGGAGAGGCTGCTGGGAAGGGGGGAGCTGCAGATGCCAGGTTAAGATCCCTGTTCTGGAGGAAGAGTCATTTCTCCTTGGTAAGTCCTTCCAAATCACCTTTTGAGGGATACCTGTTCTTTCTTTCTTTACTTTGTGGAGTGGGTCCATTTTGGCAGACTCTCACAAAGAAGGGTGGGAGCGTCTACAGAGAGGGGTGGAAGTGCTTCTTGCCTGTCCCTCACAACTCCTTCCCACCTCCCTAGACAAGTGTCAAGCACCCCTCGGCCACAGGACCTGTCTAGCTGCCTTTGCCCTTGGCCTCGTAAGTGAAGAAGGACACAGCAAATATCAGCTGTTGGCTGGGCCAATGACAGCCACATGCTGCACTAAAGACAAAGGGAAAAAAGGATTCGGGGACAAGGCAACATTTGGAGTCTTTTCTCTCCCTGACAACTGTGTCAGTCTATAAAGAAAAGATCAGGCAAAGTCAAACCAGAAGAGGCTTTCTGGATTCAAATAACATGAAAGATAGGACTTAAATAGAACCATAAATGAGTAATGAGGTCTCCTTCCATGAACACATTCTTCCATTTGTTATAGGGACACTTAGGTATTTTTCTGTTGCTGATTTTGCCTTATTAGGTCTTGTACTAGCAGATCTAAGTTACAGACGACGGGGTTGTCAAGAAGAGGGCTCATGCCACAGAAATCACTTTAGAACAAATGTAAAGTATTCTTTACCCTCTTATCATGTATGTGTATATAATAGTGTATTTATGTGTAGCATAATAGTGTATGCTATTAGAATCCGTGGTCATCTATAGAATAGCTTACATTGGACTGGACCATCCATTTTCCAGCAGGTCATAAAAGGTTGTGAATATTTATTCAGCATCAGATGGCTAGGAAAATGGACATAAAACATATGGCAAATATCAATTCTGAACTGCCTTAAAAAAATCTCTTGGGCTTTTAGTTTAAGATAACAGACTAGATACATACCCATGACCTTTGCTCTTGTTACACCAAAATAATATAATAGTAAAGGTTTTTTTTTTCTTTTTAACAAGATATAAACCCCCAAGGAAAAGAGAATGTAAGGACTTATCAAAAATTTTATTTATTTGTCAGAGAGGTGGGGAGAGAGAGAGAGTGAACACAAGTTGGGAGGAACAGCAGGCAGAGGGAGAAGCAGACTCCCCACTGAGCCAGGAGTCCGATGTGCGCCCGATCCTAGGACACTGGGATCATAACCTGAGCAGAAGGCAGATGCTTAACCAACTGAGCCACCCAAGCGTTCCAGATGCTGGAAAGCAGAAGAATGATGGAATACTCAGGTGGCAGTGGGCAAAGCTCTAGACGTAGGGGTGAAGGAGGGTCTGAAGCCAGGATAACTGAAAGAATATTTGAAAATATAACCCACAAATTATTTCCCTCACTTCAAGCAAACCAGTGACTATACCTCCCTCACCTTAAGAGAAACAGGAAACCTGGCACTTGAAGACAGAAGTTCCAGAAAATAGGAGAGAGAAAATAATCAAATAAATATTTCTTAAAAATTCCCAGAAGTTAAGCATGTGCATTTTCTGAGTAGAATGGCCTCCTGAGTGTTCAGCACAATGGACCAAAAAAAAAAAAAAAAAAAGATGTACACCGAAGTATATCATTATGAATTTTCAGAATCCTGGCACAAAGAAAAAAAAAGGTCCTAGAAACCACCTGAAAGAGAAAAATGGGATTACATACAGAGGATCAAAGCCAGAATGACATTTTATTTTTCAACAAAAGCACTGGGAACGAGAAGACAATGGAGTGACGCCTTTAAAATTAGAGAGGAAAATTATTTCAGCCTGAAATTCTGTGCCCAACCAAACTATTCATTAAGAGTGAGAGAAGAATAAAAACAAAAGTGTAATTGTCTCAAAACCTTTACTTCCTATGTATCCCTTCTCAAAAAGCTACTGGAAGACCACCAGTTTTGATGCTGGATACCTGAAACCAACGTAACCTTGTGTGTCCAGTATACGTCATCTAAAAAATGTAGTTGTGTCAGAAGAGAGGGAAATGGTGCTGGTGGACTGGAAAAAAGAGCTTTCACAATAAGCTTTTTAGAACTGGTTGGCTCTCTAAGCTCTGTGCATATATAACTTAAATACAAATTAAAAAACAAGAGAGTATAGTACAAATTATCCACTTTGATTCACTGCTGCAAGATACACCTTGCATTCAGCCTACAGGCCAACTCTGGATGAGTCGTGATTATTTTATTCTCCAGAACAGCTCTCAGTCGTTGGACCATCATCAAATTTAGCTTCACATTCACAGCCCACACCGGAGTGAAACCAATTTTTTTCTATAGAAGCAATGAACCAGAAGACAAGTAAGAAGGAGTCAAACCAGAGGATAATTTCTTTCCACACTCTAGAGCGAATTAAAGCACCGTTGATGAACCTGCGGGGTCTCTATTGAGAGCTGTGACATGACCTCCTGGCTGCCTCTACCTTACGCTTCTGTGACTGCCACTCATCACAACAGCAAATATTTACCTGACGCTTTCTGCAAATCTGGGGATCCAGAAGGGTTATCTCATTCAATCCTGTCATGACCTAATAAGGTGGGCACCGTCACCCTTGCTGGCCAGCAATCTGGCGGGAAGGGCTGGGATCTGAACCAGGAAGTCAGAGTCTCAAGCCCCTGCCCCCTCCTACTATGGCACAATGCCTCACTGCAGGCAGGGTTGAAAAGCAAACATCCATTTGTGATTGCCTCTCATGGAGGTCATCCTTTCTCTACAACCTTAAGCCATTAGGCAGGTGTGTTGGAGATGGTAGCCAAAGGAGGGAAAAATTGAAGGTAAGAGACCAAAAAAAAAAAAAAAAAAAAAAAAGAAAAGAAAGCAGTGACCACAGCTCAATTTAGAATATGTACTGCTTTACAGAGATTCAGGCCAAGGAATCCAAGCAGAAAAGTCTTACCATAAGGACCGCAGATATGGATATGGTATGGATGTATTCCAGGAGGGAGAGAGTACGTGAAATAAACTGGAAACTACTCTGTTTAGCTAGTTTAGTTAAAACAAACAAACAAACAAACACCAATATAAGCTCATTGTTTGGTGACTGAATGTTTCACTTTTCCACAAATTGGGGTGCTTGGGGTCTAAGGGGTTCCCTTTGCCTCTCGGTGAAGGGTGTTTTATCTCTAGAGGGAGGACAGCAACCATCGGATCCTGATCCTGAACACATTTATTGGCAGAGAGAGACATGTTAGCACGTCTTCATCAAAATGGGAGCCTCTTTGTCATCTGCTGTCAGGTGTTACCCAGCTTGGGGGGGGGCACTTATGGGAGGACAGTAGCTCCTTAGCACTTTGCAAAGTGGCTGCAAGGAAGACCGAGAAGTCACTCTAGCGAAGAGACCAGAACAGGGCTCCTGGGAGGACACCAACAGTGAGTAATTCTGCCCTTGACCTCATTAATCCATAATGCAGATTGGTACAGATTACAAAAGGCCATCGCTGGCAAACTCCCCCCGTAAATTAAAGGCAGACACTCTATTTGCTGCCTAGCTCTAGGAATCCCTCCCAACTGAAATTTCAGCTTGATATTTCTTGATCATCTTTTCTATTTCTGGAGTGCATTTCACACTTTTTCTATTAAATATGCAACTTTAGTTTCCTTTTTATGATTTCATTTAGTTTCAGAGTGGCATAATGCCAAAAAACCACCCTTCTAAAACAAAAAAACACATTCTCCTTTATTCAAATGTTGACTGATAATCTTCTGGAATTCTGGCTCCTTCTAGGAGGTTAAAAGTAATTGTTTATGATAAAATGGTATGTTTTCTGTATATTTCTGGATATATATTGCAAATCTATATATAGCTATTTATACATGTGATAATATACACACATAGTAATATGCAGATACAGTGTAAATATACATAATATAATGTAATACATATAATAGTTTTTTCTCAATGAACAGTAGAATTTGACAATGCAGACACATTTTAAAAGGCACACATACCCTTGACTTGCAAGCACTTTGCCTTTTTGAAAAACTATTGAAGCAGTCAGAACAGCATAATGGTTACATGACATAAAACATACAACTATCATCTCAGAAATGCTGTGATTTCACACAGATTTCACGGAAAAGGGATTTGAAAAATCATA